CTTATTCATTGCAAATACATTTTATAAGAGACACAAACGCAGGTTCTACACATGGACTTCACCTGATGGTATGCATAGGAATCAGATCGACTACATCTGTGGAAGGAACCGCTGGAGAAGCTCAGTATGAGCTGTGAAAACCAGGCCGGGGGCTGATTGTGGAACAGACCACCAATTACTCATATGCAAGTTCAAGCTGAAGCTGAGGAAAATTAAACCTTAAACTACTACTCTGTGAAAATGTTTAAACCTTAATAAAAAATATTCCTTAACTCTTCTTAAATCAAAAGACAGTTTAGCTCAACTCGTGGAGAACACAGAACATAGGAAGTTGCACCAACCGAAAAGTTGTACTTCACTGGCAGTTGCAACCGGAGGAGAGACAATCTCTTCCTATATAATTTATACCCTCAGATAGTCAATGGAAGGTGAGAGTTGGTTCTAACACGAAGGCAATGAGCAGAAAGTAAAGAATATCTGCCTTTTTAGGTCTATATACACATGATTAAACTGACAACTCAAAATGCAAAGGCATTGAGTCAGTTCCAACTCATAGCAAACTTCCACCAGGTTTCTGTCAACTATAATGGTAGGACGCTGTCCATCAATCTCCTACAGAGGCACTGTCAATTCAAACCATGGGAGAACAACCTATGAGGCTTGGTTCATAGCAAGTGACTCCAGCAACTTGAATTTGCCAGCATGGGAAAAATATGAGTAGTCTCCTGTTAAGATGTGTAACCTTGGAAACCCAATGGAGGGTTGTTATGAGTTGGAAATGACTTGGTATCAATACATTTCTGAGGCTTGGTTTTATGCCAATCATACCATTATGTGGCATCAAAAGACAGGTTTTGTATATTTGGCTTTCTGGTGTTTAATATACTTCTCTTCAGAAAAAGTACACTTACCTGCTGAATTTAGTTAACAAATATAGCTAAGTAATAAAAACTATTTCCCATTCAAGATTCAAGAATTTTTACCTGTTGCTTTTCTTTCATCTTTTTGTTAGAAGCATCTGACTTTGTTTTGGCACAATCTAGTTTTTTCTGAGCATCCTTCAATTCCTTCTCTCGTTCAGCTTCGGCATTTTTCATTTTATTCTCCAGTACTTCGTATTTTTCTTCTGCCTTTTTCTGAATTTCTTTGGTATTCTTTAACGTTTCTTCACTTTCCTCTGCAAGCAGGTAAACGTGACTAAATTAGGTCCTCTGACTATTAATGTATAAACAATAGCTTATAAATTCAACTTTAAGTAGATAAAACAGTCTCAAAATCAGAGGCTAGAGTTTAAAAAAAATTAACTGTTACATTTCATTTAGAAATAGAATGCTGAAATGGATTCGACCTAAAAGTCAAATCACAATCATCTAAATCTGGAAAGAAATAACTTCTAATTGTATACACTTGTCCATATAAACATTATTGATGGGCATCCACTTCCATAATAACTTGCCTCTCGAAACTCTATGAACCTGGAGAAAGGACGAAAGTTATACAGGAAGTGTCCAGGACTTGTCATAGGGTTGCTATGAGTCGCCTGCGACTCGAGAGCACTTAAGAACAACAATCTGCTTTCAGAAAGTTGTAAAAGTACTTTTATTAAAAAAAATTTAACAATTTTTCATCTAGCAAATCTGATTACTTTCTACACTAGAACAGAGAGTGAAACAGAGGCATTTCCCTTTTATTACAGCTATTAGAAAGGTTACAATTAATTTCATAGATAATCTTAAAGGGCTTATCTGCACCATTTCTTAAAACTACTTTCATTGTAGAATAAAAATACTAAAGGGGAAATGAGTATATGATTGTTACCTTAGGAAGAACAAAACCAAACATAACCATAATTAGATTCTCATTATAAAGTGCAAAGTGTTGTAACATTAGAGCTAGAAGGTTATGAATTTAATAGTTGTAAATAAACTGTAAGAGAATATAACTCTTAAACAGGAAAGAAAAAAACAATGTGGAAAAAACAAAAGCAGTCCAGCAGAAAAATGAGCAAAATAAATGATTAAGAAATAGCAGAGGTGGACAGTCAAAACGTCAATGAACACATAAAATAGCTGCCACATTTCACAAGCCAACAGGGAAATGCAACTTAAAAGGCTAATAATGCACTTCCGTATCTGTTAGATTGGATGAAAAGAAACTTCCACATGTGCTTTGAAGATAACATGGCATCTTATAAACACTTAAAGTAAGATCAAGAGTATCAGGAAAAACAGATTAAGCACAGAATGGTTTTAATCTTACCAATGATTTTCTTAAGGGCATCTAACTCTTCTTGCTGCTTATGATATGAACTTTGCTGTAGTTTGGTTTGCAATAAATCTGTCTCCTCAGTCTTCATTTCCCACTGCTGCTTTAGTTGGCGATATCTTAGAAAAAAAAACAGATGTGTTTATAATAAATTATTCCAATTTTTTTTTGGTGTTTGAGGCAAACAAACTATAGGATTTTAACTGAAATAAATTCACTTTAATGTTTAAGGAATCAAATTCACATGTGATTTGGGCAGCAATACTAAACAATGCTAAGTAACCAAGACAAAAGCCTGCCTAATTTTATAAAACGCCTAAAGCAATCTTTCATTAAATTAATAATTTAAATATTTATAATTATAAATTTATAATTCAATTTATAAATATTATACATTATTAGTTTGTCACATTTATAGTTCTGAAACTTTGAAAGCTAAGAGATTTCTTCTCTCATATATTACCCGTATCATTTTGATAGCTTAGTGCTAAGAAGCTGTGCTGCCAAGCCAAAGGCATACAGTTCAAATCCATCAGCTGGTCTGTGAAAGAAATATGGGCACTCTTCTCCTATGAGATTTACAGTCTCTGAAAAGTCACTGGTAGGTCAGTTAAGAGCTGGCTCCAACTTGATGGCACATAATACAGCATAGTATTCAGATGTTCACTCAACAGTTGTAATCTCAGAGAATTTCCCAGGCCACCAATCTAAAATCACAACACCTTCTTTTCCTGGATAGTTCAGAGCCCTTTTGTGCTTGTCTTAGTGCAATCTAACAAAATGGTTTCAACAGTTTGTCTTTTCTTATTGTCTATATCCCAAACTATATAAAAATTTGATAAAAGTAAAGATATTTATCTATTCAATTTAATCTTTATCCATCACTGACTGCTACAAGAGCACTTGGTACATAAGTGACACCTAATATTAACTGAGTGGGTAATATGGAGGGAGAAAAAAGCATGATCTCAATTGTGAGTCAACAAAATCTACAAAGACCTAATTGGTAAATGAAAAAAAAAAAATGCTTGAAAGGTCACATATATGTTTGTATGTTAACAGTGAATTTCTTTCTCCTTAGGCAACCTAGGGATCTTCAATATCTAAAGGTTAGTCACAGTGCTGCGTAACTTAGTGCAGATGGCTGCTATCCATGCTATAGATCACTGTATTCTAAACCAAGAATTCAAATAGCACTGGGTATCAGCAACCACAGTTATCTACGGATACTCCCATCAAAACTTAGCAAACTGTTAACAATGTGAATCTCCACAGGGAGAATGGACTTTTTGGGTGAGTTATGGCTGTTGTTTAATTAGATTTACCCAATTCCAAGTAATAAAAAAAAATACCTTTATAATTATACGTTAACAATTCATAATTCAACTTAAACACTTTAAGACCAAAGATATTGTTTAAAAATTGTAGAAGTGGTATTTCTTTAAATAAATCTTCCTTTCATTTTCTACTATCTAGATCATTGACTAAAGATCAAAAGTAAAACAAAAAACTATTTAACCAAACAAACTTCTTACTTTTCAGCAACACTTTTAAGACTTGCTAATTCCTCTTCTAGAACTTGTAGCTCATTTTCCTTAATTTTCAATTCATGTTGAACATCCTTCAGTTCTTGAAATTTGGTTAAAATAGAAGCTGCCTGGGACCGAGCACCTGTTTAGGGGGAAGATGAAACCGGTCTTAAATATTATCATATACACAGTAAACAATGACACACTTAAGAGAATTATACATGGGATATTGTACTGCAGAATCTTTTCCATTTAACATATGAAACTACAGAATTCATCTCATACTTTGGTCTTCATGATATACCTAACTGAAAAGAAACCCTTCTAAGTAGATGTGGTATACTGCTCATTCACATTATTCTCTGCCCCTGCTTACTGGAACCATCTCTCTTTTTCCTCTCTGTTGACAATAAATCTGGTCATGTGACTTGCTCTGGCCAGTGAAATGGGAAATGCATCTATGCTGAAAATGAGCTTTAAGATGATTAGACCAATTGTTTTCCTTTTTCATGTTTAAGGCAGGGACTTTACCGTCAATCTGAGTTATACACTGAGAACATATGAAGCAGAGGCAATTAATCAACAGTTATAGAATAAATATGTAAATTTCTGAGATTTGGAAGCTACTTGCTATCACATCATAACCTGACTTAAACCCTAGGACATAAATTGGTTTAATTTAACAACTATAATAATCTGTGATTGGCAGACTTTGGTACTATGTTGGTAAGGAACATGTGCAGGTTGGTGAGAGACAGCCAAAGTCTATTTAGCAATGTCATTATAAACACAGGGTTAATATAACACAGGTACATACTTGCTATTCATTAAGTAATTTTAAAGTATTCAAGTTAATGAAATTGAAAATGTTTCTTCTGTTTCGATCAATAGAAATATCTGTTTATCTTCTTGTCTTCTAATTCTGGATACCAGATGTCTTATTGCATATAGGAAAACTTGGAGCACAGATTTCATCTATTTTTCTATTGTTTTCTTTGTCTAGAAGACATTCAGTCATTTGATATTTCAAGAGGACTTATGGAATCCACTGGTTAAGATTACAAAATATACTTACTGAAACCAGACTGCCTGAATGAAAATCCAGTTTGGCCATTTAACAATAGGTTACGTAACTGTTGTTTATCTTAACTTAATGGGAGAAAGATGGGCAATCTCCTCCTACATGACTAATTACCTCTGAAAACCTGCTGGAGGGTTAGCTATGGGTTGGTTCCAACTCGATGGTATTCAACAATCTTAGTTTATGTAACTAAAATAGTGCACTCATTCAACATAAGGAGGAAGGTGAATCATTACACAACTGGCAATGTATCATAACTTCTGAATCACTGAGATTCACTGCTTGCCAAATTAACACAAAATCTGAACCAACACAGAGTTACTCTTTCCTGCCTTGCGTCTCAGCATTTGTTACTGCCAGACATATGTAGTCAATGCACAAAATAATCAGATATATCTTAAAAACTATTACCGGACATGTAAAATGTTAGATAATGAGATATTCAATAATTGAGGAGTTGGTATAGTATTCTTTTTTTTTTAATAATACTTTTTTATTTTATAGTATAGCACTAGACATAAGAAAAAGTTTAATTATCTAATCAAAACATTTTCCCTTCTAAATGAATTTCTCATTTGGTAACTACAAAAATATTCATGAAAGCCATGTTACATACTCTTCAGAAATAAAACAGACAAAATCCATCACTAACTTTATGGGGGGAAAAACAGATGTAAAACCTAGTACATTAGGAAATTAACTAAGGGAGAAAAAAGTACAGAATCATAAACTGGTATAAGGTATAGTATTCTTATCTCGCAGAGTTGTTCTAAGGTAAATAATTTAGTAAAGAGTTTACAACAATGCTTCATACAATGATAATGTTCTGTATAAGCCATGTCCAATCACTTAGTAACCATTTATGGTTATTAAGCACTTGAAAGATGGCTAGTGCACTGAGAAAACGGTTTTAGGTTTATTTAATTAAATTAAAACGTAGAGTCACATGTAGATAATACTGCTTACATTGAAGAGATAATCATAGAACAATGTCTAGTACAAACTAAGTACTAACAACTCAGTATTTGGTGTGTCATTACTTAACACAGATCTGGAGTCTGCCGCAGTACAGCAAGTATATAAAAAAAGAATATGATCATTATCTAAGAATTCCTTTCTTAAGGCACCCTCTCAAGGATATATTTAAATTGTTTTACTTCTGCAGCAAGCACTATGCCTCCTGAAGAAGTAAGTTGTTGTTGTTGTTGTTATGTGCCTTCGAGTCGCCTGCGACTCATAGCGACCCTATGTCCAA